TGTATTGAGTATGTTTATTTTGTATGCAATAGTTAACAATTGATGTCATGTGACCTATGTAATTGTATATATTGTAAATATGTTGCCTCATGGACCAGTCTGGTCTACTGGCTTTGTGAAATAAAGATATATATATATAATTATTATTTTTATTCATAATTATCGTGTTTTTGTCAGTTTTCTTTTTCAGAATGAATGCAAAATGGAAATACCCGACCTATCCTTATGGCCACAGAAAATGGGATTTTTTAAAGTAATACAATGTATATACTTTTGCTGAACTAGAATGTATTTTTGTTTTGAATTGTATTAATACATCATAAAATAAAAAAAATATGGATTGTTTTTCGTTTGGTTTAAAAGTCAATTAATAATTTCATTTCTTATCGTGCATCTGAAATAATCAATTAATTAATGTTCTGAACATTTGTCCCATAGGATATTTTGTTTACTTTATCAAATAAATAATTGCGCATTGAATGAATTAAATCCATTTTATTATACATAATGATCAATCGTATGGCACACAAGAGAATATGTTTTGCATACGTAATTATCTAAAGTCTGGTAAAATTCTTGGAAGTAAATTAAAAATGCGTATTTAATACAATTTGAATCATATAGTTTGTTTTAGAAAGCTTTCTAGGCTTATAACACGAATTAGATATACGGAAATGATTGTCATATCTATCTAATGTTGAAAATAGATACATGTGTAACCTTTCAGAATAAATAAAAAAGACAACTATTATTTTATTTTTAAAAGAGCATGAAATGTTTTATTCACATGTAATTCCATGACTGTTAAAATTGAAGGGAATGCCATTAATATGAATTTTGATATCGGGCATTTATTTTTCAACGTTTGTGTAACGTACAACTGGGAACAAAAGTAGAGAAGTCAAAAAAGTGGAATTATTGTATTTACTTCTAGCAAAACGAAATGGTCAGGAAATCTGCGATATCATTTTTTCATATATTTTATAAAGACCAATAGGTCAATTGAAACTTTAACTGTATGCTCCTCGCCGTTTGTACTTGATGGTGGTTCTTGTAGGGCTTGTGTTCATCATCTTTTATATAATTATATAAATGTATTTTCAACCCACATTAACCTTTTTGGGATTGTAACATTGTTATTGAAGTTCAATTCTCTTTATTTCAAGCATGATAACGAAATTTTTTGCCAATTCCTTAAATGCCATCAGGGAAGAACGAATTATGGTAAATAGTAGAGTATCCATGCATGTTCTCTTTTTATCTCTAATTATTGTTATTGTTTCATCATAATTACTATATATGTCCATATCTATTATCAAAGTGACATTATGCTCATATTTTCATTGTCAACTTGAGCATAATTGACTTAATATTTCTAAAGATTGACTGTCAAAATGGTGATTGACCAACAGTTGATAATGGAAAATGTTAAGGATAAATTATAAATCTGCCTTTAATTTAAAAAGACTGCCCCACTCTTTTTATAAACTAAGTAAACTTACAGATAAATTCCAATTGATATTTTCATAAATTTTCTTTGGATCTGTGCATTATTTATTGTTTCGTTAACTTAATTATTACTTAAAAGGAATTTATTGCAAAATGAAAACTTATTTCGTTCAGTCACTATAAACCCTTTGACGGGCATAACATCACTTTAATCAAGCAAAAATTTTTAAAACAAATCCCCTAAAATATTCATTGATGTTTCATTATAGATAAAAATTTCCTAGAGACGATTTCCTCACTCAAAGATACAATATCATGGGTTGCCTTATATATCGTTAAAATTAAAAAGTAAAGTATTATATTATTATGTGGATAATGTGAGTGATGTATCTGCATTATAGCGAAAAATATGTTAAGTTTAGCGATTCAATTAAATGATGTTGGATGCTGCATAAAATTAAAGATTATAACTTTTAGTTTTGGTTATTGCACTTTTGTTAATAAGAATACATTTTAATTGAAATAAATTGATAACTCTGCAAACAAAAGTGACCTAAAATGATAACAAAACGATAGTTGGCTGCATATCCCATTTTGTATTTTATTAAGCTTTTTAAACAATGTATTTTACATCGTGCACAGATTAATTTAATTAGATTTATTTGTCATCGCTTGTCCTTATTTTCTTTGTTCGCCTTTTGAAAAAGTGCCGACCACTCAAGTGTTCGATACTTAACCAAATAACATATTGAATTCAATTAATAATTTGATATTTCATGTTTAATACATTGTTATACAATGTACACGAATGCTGATATTTTATTTAATTTCACAATGCAACAACTAAAACAATATTAGATGTTATAATATATTTGATAGATTAAACATGTGTTGTTGTAATAGAATATTATATAATTTTCACATCCTAATAGGGCCCGTAAGTCTCGTTTACTTACACTTTCGATTTACCACTTCCGGGTACATCTGCAGACTTATTTACCGTTACGCATATAGGTAACCCGAAGAACTCGAGGGATATACAAGTTAAATTTGTTTCGGTCCTCTTCAGATTTGAAGGAATGGATAGCACGGGTAAAAAATGCAGGTAGGTCAATTATCTGACGGAAAAACGAGGGATTTATACAGTTTAATAAAACTAGTTTATTTTCGGATAGTGACAATTGTTTCGGATGTTTTGTCAAGGTAGTGAATTCTAGTTGTTTAGCTTTTAGAATACAAGTATAAAATATACAGTTGTTACATATGGACCATTAATCAACTGTTTGCACTGCCTATGATCCTGAAATATCTATACATCAAAGGTAAATACATGTAAAATAATTGATTACTTTTTAGTTTGGATCGAAAAGATAAACAATTATCAAAAATATTATTATAATTTAATAACTTTTGGATTTCACTGCATGATAATTGATAAATAAATAAAACATTGAAAATAGTAATGTTTCACATTCAAGAAGATCAATATTTTTGACTGTTATATATTATGTGTTGTTGTTTATCTTTAATGTTTATTTACTTTAAATATGAAATTTTTCTGTCAATCATGACCAGCTTATTAAATGTAATGTAAATATCATTTCTAGTGTCTTACACTTGTAACAACATATTTATTGATTTTTCATTCTGCAGATAAAAAGGGAAAAGATGAAGGAGGATTTGTCCATGAAGACCTTTATTGCAACTACCATCTTCCAGTTCCTTAATTTGAGAATGATATCAGCGAACACACAGTTACAGTGAAATATTAGTTTAATATAAGCCACTGAGAATAGTCAAATGCACTTTCCTGAAGAAGATGAATGACATCCAGCACAAAAATCTTAATGTATAAAGAGTATGATTTTATGGTGTTTGACACTATGATCTTGTTAACATGTTAATGTCACAATGATAGAGACAGAGTAAAATATCCACATTTCATTGCAGGTTTAAGTATTAAAACTAGATACTCTATATATACCAAAGCTGATAACACACCAGAGATAAGGTTTTTTCATGGAATCACAGTATAGTCATATGACATTATGGACATTAAATGACTATGAAGTAAAGATTAGCAAAAATATTATATATCATCTACTACTAATATTGTGAGGTAATCATTGATAAGCACACAAATTTGCAATCAAAGCTTTGATATCAAGCTGACCATTTTGCAATTAGAATATGATTTATAACTCTATGATAATTTGTTCATGTTAATTTTCAAAGTCTTTACATTTGTCAAAGGAAATATTCTTATTTTTGTATCAGTAGACATTTACAGTGTTAAGTTACATTGTCCAAATAACTAATAATAATTCCAAGTGCTTTCCTGAAGTTTTTCTTCCACTTGAAAATCAGTGTGATATATAAGCTAAGCAGTGCACTATAAATTGTGTAAAAATAAAAGTTTATTAAACTTATGAACTGTTCTTTGTTTCTACTATTTGGCATATATTTATAGCAGTGCTTGATCATAAGAGTTAATCTGCAAAATAAGTGTCACTGTGTACTTTAATTCTCTAACAGCACTGGCTAGATTGCTTGAATATGCAAGCATTGACTATATTAAATACTATGCATGTCATTTGAATTTTGTCTGTCCTGAAATCGAAACAGACACTATCTAAATAATATTGATGAAAAGTTCTTGACAGCTCTTCAATGACTACATTTACACATATGTACATGGACAGAAGTTAAAAGCATTGTGTGGTGTTTTTTGTTTTTGTTTTTTTTTTTTGAAACATTGACAATTTTGAAACAGTTCCAATGGGTATATTAATGTATCAGTGATGTAATTGTTTTGTATCAAGTGCAAACCCTTAGTTTTGCATGTATTGTATAGACAATTCACTTTTGGTCAAATGTCAACAGGTTCAATACATTATAAAACAGGTAATTTGAAACCCAAAAAAGTTATGGTATGTAGAAACTACCCCTCTGATACTAAAATCTTCAAGGAATGCAGACTTGCAAGTCTTCTCCAATTAAGAGAGAGACTTGGGCAAGCTAGTGTTTTGCTACAGAATAATCAACACAGATGAATTGCATTAATATTGTTTACTCTGGTATTACTACCTGCCATGTAAAATGCAAATCATGGCTTTTCTAAGAGCAGTGAAAGGCTATAACTGGAAGGAATTTTACACATCTTGCCTCAGAAACAAGTTTTTCTTTGACGATTTTTATGATATTTAAATAATGGTTAAAGATTACATTTCTTTTACAATTGCAGTGATCATGGTGATAATATGAAATGAAACTCAATCAAGATAGAAACATTTTAATGCTGAACATTTATCTTTTTACCTTAAGTTTCATGTTAATTTACAAGTCTATTTATAACAAATTTATCTTAACTGTTGTAAAACTACATGATGCCTGGTTGAAACTGTTTTGGGCAGCCATTTGCAGAAGATAAATTATCTTTGAATAATTAAGTTAATACAAAGTTACAAATGACAGGTTATTTATTTCTAATAAAGACAGGTTATTTATTTCTAACGAAGACAGATATTTTGTTAAACATTTTTACACTGACATATATCTTTGAAGGGTCTTCAACCTTAGATTTTATTAGAATACAAACATTCAGTCAGACAGTTTACACAAGACATGGAGCTTTAAAAAGCTTTAATTCAGTCAAAATCAGTAATGGACCGCCATGTCTCTACCACTATGTACTCCAGGACTGTGTATGGACATTTCCTTTCAACTATGCCTGGTGGTATCACTATTTGATTTCTAATCTGATTGTGAACACTCCAAAATAAATCAAGAGCCATGACAAGTACTCAAGATCCAACCATGAAATCACATACCTGTATATAAAGAGAATTTATCATGAGTTAAAAGCAATAATAATTGGTCAGCTATAGATTTCAATCATTTTCATATTGTCATGAATAAAAAATAATGTTGAAAAAGAAAAAAACTTCTTGGTGTCCTAGTTTTTGTAGATTTGCTTTAACAACTGATCTTTAAAAATGTGATAATGACTAAGTTCTTTTAACCATTTACTGAACATGATTTAACTAAAAAATATGACCCACTTACTTGAGAAAAATACTTAAAACAGTATTTAACATAAATTAACAACATATGCCATACTGTTTGTTTATTTACATGTAGCTACACTGTAATTATTTACAAAAACGAGAACATTACATGTATATGTTATACAATAATATTTATTTTTCATTAATGTAGTTTAAGTAACTTTAAGTATATATTTCTTACCAAAACGATTTTACAGCAGAGCATGCATGTTTATTTACAATGGATACTGACGTCTTTCATCTCACCACTGTCCTCAGTCAAAATATCTACAGGAGCAAAATATTTCATTGAATTTTATGACAATTTAAATTGGTTATATACAGCTTGACTGTTTGTGCTTTATAAAGATAATAGTTATAAATAAATAATATTTTCATTTGGAAGAAAATATATTCAACTAAAACTCACTGATAATCATATTGAAACGTTTATTCGAAATTTGGCTGTCCGAAATTTCTAAATGTTATATACTTCTGAGAGATAATCAGGTAGCGCTATAGAAAATTGATAAAATCAAATTCACCAGTCTGGTGTCAGATGCGAATGATGTTGTATCAAAAAACAAATTAATTAGACTTACATGGAAATGAAAATATTACAACATTTATTGGGATAAACTGAATTTGAAATGACACACCCACCTGAAGATTTTACGAAGTTGTCTTTCATTGATACTTGTTCACAAGATGAAACCATTTGCATTTCGTTACAAAACAAAAAAAATCTGCCAATTTCTACATATCATTTGCTTTTCCATGTAAGTTTTACTTTCCCACCGGCATACAAGTATTACCCAATATAGATAAGCAATGTTGTTGATATTTGTTTGTACCCGGAAGTGCAAAATATCGTGAAATCTCGCAAGTCACATGACGAGACTTACATACCCTATTTCTAAGTTTCAAGATGAAAAATGAATCTCATTAATTATAAAAATGTTAGATGCAGGCATGTTATATGACTCCTTTTTGTTATGTCTCGTGTTCAATAGTTTCTATAAAGACACGGCCTCATTTATCATATTTCCGTCATTTTGCAATGCTTTACATTAAAAATTTTTAATACCATTTAGAATATCACGTTTTCTCCGCACTCGTAACTTTACAATTGAAGAAAAAATATACACTAGCGTGATTCCTGTTTTAATGAAAAACAAAATTTTGGATATAAATTTAATCTTAAAAGTATAATGGTATGTAGATACTTTTATGTTTCAAGAGTTTATTCAGCATTAACATACAGTATGGTCATTGCTATACATATGAGATAATGTGCATGTAATATGACAAGGAAACAAACAAACAAAATGAAATGCATTTGGGAACAAAGAGAATAACTCAAACAAACAAACAAACTCACGCAACAAGAATACACATGTATTATTATTGAGAAAAGTGTAAAGAAATAGTAATATGTATTTAAACAGTCACATTTATCAATTATACTATTTCGTTTACATGTAGCTAGGTAAAAATATTTTGCCAGTTTATTTATAATACTTTTTCGACTATCTGTCATAATGTTCCCAAATTTCTGAATACTAGTCCAAGAACAATAATAATTAGGAAGGCAACGATATCTTATTTCCCTACAAAAGGGACACACTATTACAAAATGATATTCATTGTCAGCTACATTCATGTTACAACGTAAATAAATCCGTTCATGATCAGTATTATTTAAAGGAAAAAAAAACATACACACACACGATTCCCTTTCTCCAGGTGTGCATGTCTACTCAGATTACATGTTCAGTTACATTCAAAGCTTCCTTTAAAAAATGACATGGATAGGAAAATATTGAAATATTTGAACAAAAACATTTCATATTCACATGAAAGGATTCTTGTAATTATAATAACATGTAAACATATCGATGCTCATCTTGGATACTACACTTGTGGCATAAACATAGTTCCAATAGTTTTTTTTTTCAATTCAAAATTTTTTTTGGCATAAAAATGTACAATTATCATCGTTAATTAACAAATGTTTGGTGCAAATGATAAGCATTTTAGAAAGGTATATTATTATAAAGTTACAATTGTTTATCATACTTATTATAATAATTAAATTTGGTAATAAAAAAATATTATGACAATGCAAACACTATTTGTGTGTCTTGAATATATATGTTTTTTTATCTGTTGAATAGAAAAAGTGTTACAATCAGAAAAGCTTCCTGTCAATAAGTACAAAGCGGAAGTGTCACGTGAATAAAACGAACAATAAATCTGCATTGGAATTTTCCCTTAAGGAAAATACAAAAAATCCTGTCTGGAGTAAGTGCAAACAAACATATGTAAGTTAATTAATTCTAAAATTGACTGTTATCTTTTTACCTTTAACACGAAAATGTATCCTCATGAGTTGATAATAATAAAATAATATATTAAATGTTTTGACGATAGACTTTACCAGTACTGTCTACGAATAGGTTAAAAAAGCCAAGTAAGCATTTTCAATTTAAACATTTCAGACGTTGTTTAGGGATTCTGGATTTCACCTTTCACATGGCATTATGCGATTTTAAATGTACTGTTTTATACAACTTGTTACAAGCAGTTTAAAAATTTATTCTGATAAATAGTAAATAAAAAGAAGTCAACTGCTAATTCTTAAAATTCCCTTTTATATACTCTTTAATGCATATTTATAAAGTAACACGTCCTTGGAAAATACTTTTAAAAGTATATCACTTTGATACTATATTAGGACTACATATATATATATTATAGTCGTAGAGTTTGAACATCATCATTGCATTTCATTGACGCATTATTCATAAACACACACATCGTTAGTTCATACAATTTGTTACATCTGAACTGTATTCATACCTAGATTGATGTGTACGTGCGATACAATTTGATTAGTTTTCACCATATTTCCTGGGATCGGAAAGGTAAATGTAATATGAGGAAAACATCGCGTGACGTTATTTTAATACTAACGACTCTTCTTGTCCCTGATTTCAGACGAACTAATCAAAGTTGTTATTTGAACATCTGCATTAGGTTAACAAATGTTACGTATAAATCAAAACACTTTCGCGATAAAGCTAAACTTAATGACAATTTTCCTAAGCAGTAATGCTTATTATTTATGTTCATTCAGCTTTACTCTATTTTAAGTTATTAATCACTAAATATTTACATTTAATTGCAAAAAAATGTACACACGTTCATTAAAAAAACCAAGAAAAAAGGAGAGAGGAAAACCTAACAGAAAACACTAGATCTTAAACACCCTATAATGTTCAAGAAAATTTTCGATTTTGCAAAAATACAAGTTTCTCTTTATATAATATTAATAATCATTATTTTTAAATAAGAATTAGTATTTCACATTTGTTACATCTATGTATCTAAAATAATTATGTTCTTTTAGAAAAGGTTGACATATAAACTTAATTCTAGATATTTATTGTTTAAACTGTTTAAACCGACCCTTATTAATAGATTTAACATACTTGATTTCATGTTGCCTCTGTTAATACGCCATATGACCTAAATTCTGTGGTGCGTTGTAAGACCAAACCAACCAATTGCAACAAAACAAACAAACTGTTTCCTCTGCTGTAAAGCCCTGTAAAAAAGATATATAAATCATTGATGTACGAACAGCTGATGTCCAATGTTATCAATGCCCTTTATATACTAACAGGCCACGTGTGTTTGAACATTAAGTAAAACAAAAGCTGGTTGAAAGAAAAGTGTACTAATAAGAGATAATGAAAAGATTATTTTGTAAAATAGTAATTATTTTGTTTTATTTTTTTTAAATAATCAAAAAAATGTGAATAGATTTCATGAATACATACAAAAATGAAAATATTAATGCTGCAAAGAATTATAATGATTTTGTTTGTTTGTTTGTTTCATTTTACGCCTTTTTCCAACAGTATTTCAGTCATATAGGCGGGTAGTTTCCTAACCATCGTTCCTGGAGAGTTACAGTAGTACTAGACTACCTTCATCCGCGCTAAAATACCAAAGCATCTCCCGGGGATCGAACCCACGCCAGAGAGGTAACTGGATTATTAGTCATCGACTCTACACCCTCGACCACGGAGGCAAGACATTTACTTAATTAAATATGTATGTTATATTATATAAAGAAGAATTGATTAAAATAATTTGACTATGTATAATTTTAACTTACATTTACTTCACTTTCCATTTCAATTTGTTTTAATTTCAGACGTCTCTTTATCATCTTAAGGACTACACTGTAATCATATAACAGTAACGAATAGAATTTGTTCAAAGACTATCATTTGTGTCAAGTTCTATATTCTTATGGATAGTTGAACCCACTATTTCCGGAATGAGTCGGCGTAAATTGGACATCTATTTTGTATGAGGCTGCAAACGAGCCCTTGAGGATGATAAGCACTTTCATTTGCACGTCAGACGATTATGTTTTGTTGGAACGTTTTGTTTTTGGAAGTAAAAAAAAACACATTGGAAAAACGGTTGAATTTATTAAGTTACGAATGAAGCTTTAGAGTTTGGAAGATGTACATGTTGTAAGATAAATGTAAATTTAACTAGTTTGAATTCTTTTATTGTAACATGCGTTTGTTTTCGTCCAGTTTTAAACATTTCTATGCTAGTCTGCTACATATTATTGAAAAATCACATTTATTTGGCGTTATAATTTGATGGCCACATCTGATTAAAATATAATAAATGCTTTAAATACTTAGTGTTTCCTTTGATTTGTTTTTTTCTATTTTATAATTGCAAATTTCAGTATCTTACAGTAGGGTGAACGTTTCGGTTGTCAAAAATAGCGTTTTTCGTGCGTCCGTTTTTCGTGTAACGTGCGCGTGTATAGCGTGCAACGCGCGTTTGCTGAAACGCTTTCTAAAGCGTGCATCGTTTACAAGCGTTTAACGTTTATCGTTTTCCGTGTATCGTTTTTCGTGCGTCTGAAAGCGTGCGTTTTTTATTCTCAGAAACGTTTAGCGCGCGTCTGCGTTCGTCTATGCGCTTAAGTACCGTGTTTTGCGTCTTTTACTATTGAGAATTAAAAGAATATCTTAGATAAATATATAATTACTAATTAATTGCAACATTTTTGATATTCAATTCAGCAAACAGGTGTTTATATGCGTACCAATATATATTAGATACGAGGTTCGTCAGACATCAAATGATGGTAATCAGAGTAGCACCCCACCCCCTTTACAAGTTCATCTTCTGACTTTTCATCAAAGACTGTCCGAATCCTATCCGAATTATCCTATCATGATTCACAAATTATTGGAGTCCAACACTCCTCCTTGCCTGGCACTTATGGATCGAGGTGCATGAGGTTGACAAGATTCTCCATTTTCCTCATTTTTTTCACGCTTACCGTTTTGGGCCCAAAATACAAGTTTATTCTTAATATAACACTTTAATTCATTAAATTTCATTAGGCTTTTCACACTTCTATAATCGTTATTATCTGTTATATTAAAACATATTTTATCAATTTGATAACAAAAAAAAAAAAAGAAAAAGGATAAATATATGCATGTAGTTTTACAGCTGATAATTTTTTCAGAACTCATATAAAAAATTAATTAATATTTATTTTCACAGTGAAATTTCATTATACGTATTATCACCGAAAATCTTTTTTATATCAATCTTGTTTGCAGGTATGTTTTATATTATATATATTTAGGAAATAGTATATCCCAAACAGTGATTTTATCGCTCAATAACATCACTGTTTAGAGTTCGGATACAAAATTATATCACGAGGGCGTAGCCCGAGTGATATAATGATGCACATTCGAACGACAAACAGTGATGTTATCAAGCGATAAAATCACTGATTTGGATAAATTATTTCGATTCTAACACGACATCAACAAATAAGTGTTGCCGTACTT